TGACCATAGAACAGAGACTCCCCATAGATGATGGAGCCAGCTGCTCATCTTTTGGAAGATAAGACCGTTAATTCTATTACTGATTTGTACACAGCAAATTTTCCTCTAGAGGTTTAACTGTTAAGGCTGGTTTCTTTGAAGTATACTTTTCTTCTATTTCTGGGTGCATTTGAGCTATTATAAATATCACTGAAGGCAGCTTATAATGCTTCAATATTAACATTTCCTCCTTAACTCATTGCCATGATGAACATTCATTCTATTATAAAATTGGAAATCGTTAGTTATGATTTTCCTCCTCATGTTAAATTTCTATCTGGAGAGTTTAGACATTTGCTTCCTCTCTTATGTATAGGTGATGGATGTTCAGAAATTGGCTGCTGAAATGGGCTTGAATTGTATAACTACATACAAGCTAGATGCACTAAAAGCTGTTTGCCGAAGAAATGAATCCAATGATATATCTACTAAGTACTGCAGCAAGGATAATGTTTGTGAAAGTATTCAAGGTTCCGATGACACAAGATTGCATGAAGAGAGAGTACCATCTACTGCCACAGAAGGGTTGACTGCTGTTATGACGTGCACAGAAAATGGTAGGTAGATTCTGTTCATACTTTGATCATGCATGTTCTAAAAGCGAAAGAGAGCATTAAATGGTGCATGACAAGTTTTGCTTTCTTTTGTATGTCCTGTAAGAAACTAGTATTTAGATTATTTTGAACTGGCCCATCTAGTTAAATGTTTTATACTCCCCTCTGGTGACTGGTGTAAGCTGTGATTTAAAGGTTGTTCTGCTCAAGGTTGCATGGTTGTCAAAATATTGAATATGCGTCAGAGTTTTGAAATCTACTCAATTGAATTGTTTTATTTGTATTTAAGTGGTGATTGCAATTGTTTCCTCTTTCATACTTGCTTTGTGCATGACAAAATGCGGCTTGCTTGACAATTACAAATTCATCTCTAATTTTCAATATTTTAGTTAGCAATGAAAAAGGGAATGAGAGAACTTACATTAGCAAAGCTGACATCAGGAAGAATAAGCAAAAAATGCGGAATGGGCCTGGAAGAAATCAGTCCCTTGGTGGTAGGGTTGAGAATTCAAAAGGATTTTTTCCTAACAGCTTTGATCGAGTTCTTCTTGATGCTCCCTGCTCTGCTCTTGGTCTCAGACCTCGACTATTTGCTGGAGAGGTAGGACTGTCTAGTTGATATTCATTTTACGAATTTCTTCCCTGATTTATGCCATATTAAGAAGATAAATAAGGGTAAAGAGATTGTTTCGTATTAATGCCTTACGTCTGCTATTTAATTTAAAGAGTATTGAAGTCTGTGCCTTTACTAATTTGTATTTCGCCTTTATATGCATAATAAAAGATAACAGGGGAAATTGATTAAATTTGTTTTCTCTTCCAGGAAACAATTGTTTCATTAAGAAACCATGGGAAGTATCAGAGGAGAATGTTTGACCAGGCTGTTCAATTAGTTCGCCCCGGTGGAGTCATTGTGTATTCGACGTTAGTACCCTGCTTTGTCTTCTCATCGATTTTCAGTACCATGTGTACTAACCATTAATTTTATATAAATATTATTAACGATTAATTTTAATTGTAAGTTAGTATAATTAATTATTTAAAATATTAAAGGGTATAAAGCCGTCCACCGTTTGCCGGAATCCGGTCACCGGGATATTCGCCGGCATGGTTAGATAATGATACTGGTATCATAATGATCATATTTTAATTATTTATGCATATTTGTAACTTTCGATAGCAATGAAAATAGTGGTTGACGGGGATCTGATGGAGAAAGTTTGGACCCGAAGTTTCTCCGTCAGATCCGGAAAAACGCCGCATCAATTGCTTTAGAAAATTGTATGGTTAAATAGACCATTCAGAGAAGATTATTTTAATACCAAAATCATCATCAAAGTAGGCTGGTGAAATTTCCGGTCACCGGATCCTGGCGACTGGCTGTCATTTTCTGGCAATGGCAACTGTGGAGGTGAAAAAACTTTTAATTTTTTAAATAAATAAATTTATGGGTTTTTCTTTTGCTAGATGTACAATTAACCCTGGTGAGAATGAAGCATTGGTTCGATATGCTTTGGATACATATAAATTCCTCTCATTAGCACCACAGGTACATTTTCATATTGCTTCTAAACCCTGATTTAATTTAATTTTTTAAATTCTTCAATTGGTTAACATTGTTGTCGATGATGTTATTATTTTCGTCAATATATTTCAGCATCCTAGAATTGGAGGACCTGGCCTTGTTGGTGGTTGTGAATTTCCTGATGGATATGTTGAGTAAGTACTTCTGCCCCAGTCTCGTGCCATTGTTTATGCTCTTAAGTATTCACGTTTATGTCTGTAAACACTCAAGTGGCTCGGTGTTGGTCATATAGATCACGATAATGTAAAATATCTATTTTGCCACAAAATACAGTTTCACATCTTTGGTTGAAACTAAGATTATGGGGAATTATCTATGTTGCCACCAGCATTTGTATTATGAATTTTTGTTAACTTTTTTTCTATTTATGCGAATTTCAAAAGCAGCTTCATTATTTGGGATTAAAATGGGATACGCAATATAGGAATGGAAAATCTATCATCTTTTCCCCAAAATGTTTGTGCTAATTTTTTTCCCAGTTTTGAATTTTTTTTCTTTGATATGGTGTAAGGACAATATTTTATTGATTAGTTCTGTATGTTTAATCTTAATCATTTGGTTGTTTCTTTTGTTAACCTGTTAATTTTATTTAATTTTTATGGCGAGGAGGTGTGTCTGTTTGTTAGCATAATTGTCAGTAATTGGTTTCAACACTTACTCCACAGGGAGTGGTTAAGACCTGGCGAGGAAGAACTTGTTCAGAGGTTTGATCCGTCATCTCCACTTAATACAATTGGATTTTTCATAGCCAAGTTTATTGTTGGCTCCAAAGATTCTTGATTCTGGCGCTTTCCAGCTTTGTGAAACGTGAAAGAATTAGTTGGTAGATAATGAACCAGCATCAAATTATTCACTCAAAGAAACAAATTTTACTGCTATTTTTTGTAGTGTAAGAAGAGCTTTGTACACGAATATGGCCACAGGGCTAAATGCCAAGTATTTGTATTTGTTTCGTGCCCATTCTGTTGCAAATGGGATATTTTTATCTGTAGGATGAGGTATATCAATGTAACACATTATTTGAATCTATTGCATCTTTCGACTAATTGAGCAGTTCTCCATTATTGTGCACAAAACTAGAAAGCTACACCATTTGTGTCATTTTAAAAGAATTTGTGATGCGGCATTTTCTATTTAAAAATCTTAATGCATGTTTCAGTTTTCAGGAAAGCCGGCTCTGTTAGGTTTGTTTGGTTGAAACTATCAGAGAATATTGAATATATACATCAAAGGGGTCCAAGAATTGACCATAAATTCGTTGCTAGAAAAGGAATGCAAGCAGAACAAATTAGAATTAGCTAAGCAAACACTTCCATAAAGCTGTCCTAGATTGTTCAGTCATCATTTATTTAACTTCCAAAACCCTCGACCTTTATTTACTTGTTTTTGTTTTTGGTTACAAATATTGCCACCTATTACTTTAGCAATTAGCATTAAAATAAATTGCAAACCACGACCAAGTAAACTCCCCAAACACCATCAATACTGAAAAGCAATTGCTTAGATGAGGTTAACTTGGTACAATATTAGCTATTCCTGCCACAAGACACAGTAATTTGTTTCATCAGACAAGTCCCCACTGTAAAATTCCAATAAATCTCCATTACAAGCAAAATCAATCATTCCAACCATCTCATCTATGTACCATACCATCGTATTTTCATCCATTGGCAATGCTGGAACTGCAACATCCATCATATCATTCCAATCCAAGTCACTGAACCGCTCCAACTCTCGCTCATTATTCACGTCCAGACAGTAAGCTGCATCTTCTCTCATGTCTTCATTCATCGACTCCTCCAGTAAATTCCTGAGGAGGGCTTCATCTACCTCTGTAATTTCCAGTTCCACAATGTCATCATGGGTGGCTTTGAGATTGTTTGAGCTCTCTGATGAAGCCAAGGCCATAAAAAATAAAGAAGTTTGGAGAACCCAATACAGGATAGAATTATATGTTATGGATTTGTATGAAGTTTTAACAGGTTATGGTTTAAATAGGCATATTATTTACCATATGTGATGAGGATAAGTTGCTGAGGTTACAGTAATCTTGACTATGACATGTACCTAATGTAGATGTAAACACAAATGGGGACCATGGAAGTTCATATAAAGTTTGGAAAAAAGATGAAAAAAGTTCTACTTATCCAGAACCCAGTAGCATCCTTTGGTTCAGGATTTATTGTTTGTATGTGGATAGAGTAATCTCTCGGCATAAAAGAAAAAAAAAAAAAAAAAGTAAAAGGTGAAGTTTTTGGAATCTCACTTTATTGGCATTTTCAGGTGAAACACAAGCATGCACCTCTTATCTGATTGGCCTTGTTTCATCTGCAAATGGAAGCCCACTACTGAGCAAAAGTATCCCCAGAATCCAGGGATGATTCATTGTTCATCATTCATTGTCAATACCTCCAACACGAGATGGCTTGAGCAAAAGTTTTGTTTGCAAAAGCCATTCTAGGGATAAGTAAAATGTAAAGATAAGAAAAGTTATTGTACCTGGACATATATACAACCATATACCCAGTTTATCTTGATCTACACACTGCGTAAATATCACAAGACCTCAACTACAACAAGCAACTTCTAAATATTGACCCCAATCAAGGGGATTGGTACCTTAAGAATGAAATTTAACTAAGGAAAACTATAGATATAGGCTAGCAAAAAATAATCTGTGATATATAAAACAGATAATAAATTGGAAGTGAGCTAATATGTAGTGTTTAAGTTTATTAAAAGAAGCATCTTCTATTATGAATCCAAACTGCAAAGCTAACTTAGTTTGATCATGTAAATACTAAATATACACTTGTCAAGAATCAAGATTGTTTCTCCTTGGATATACTCTCAATAACCCTTTTGAAGCAATCAGCATCATACGGAATTTGCAGCAATCCTTGTTGCTCGTATCCATATTCTTTAGCAGACAGCTCCAGTAAGGAAACTACATATGGATGATCAATCAGCTTCGTTGGTAACAAGATTCTTTCCATCATCCCCTCTTTACCAACGAGCACCGGGACATACCCTTTTCGAGCTCGATCTTCCTCTACCTTGTTTCTTGTCAATCTCAAGTACATTGTTGAAGGTGAAAAAGGATTCTTCTTCCTTCTCATCCTTCTCAAAACTATGTGTATTTCCATGTCCCAATTCCCACGGACAACTTACGCACAGCCTTTATAGCACCAAATTAAGTAGTATTCTATTGCATTACATTGATCATTGGTATTTCATCAATAAAATAATTGATGCTTATTGTTGAATGAGAAATTAAAATATGCAATGTCTCCAATCAAATATATTTTAATCGTCCTTTCATATGCATTAAGGAGCCCTTATTGGCTTTAAAGCAAAGATTTTGCTTAGAATTATTCCCATTTCCATAAGGTCATTGACTAAACGATAAGTTATCAAGCAAAGCATATACCTTGGATCTTCAATTATTATAAAGTCATGGTAAGTAAAAACTATATTTAATCAAAGTTAATCCCCAATTTAACGCTAACGCTTGTTAGGAGGATGACTGATTATTTATATATTTGGTACAAGGATTTGGTATGTCATTAAGAAGATTTAGTCCATTAATGTATATAAGGCTTGGCCAATCCCTTTTCTTGTAGGTGTGATAGATTGATTTCATTATGTTTTCCATGTCCCTGTTTCATGCTGCCATAGCATAACATACTTATTGAGTATTAAAAGCATATGTTTGCCTCTTTAATAAATTCAAGTTGCAGTTGAGAATAAAACTGCCACACAATTTCAAAGATTTTGTTTTTCAGATTCCAAGATTTCGAGAATGAACCCTGAAACTTGAATTGGTTGATAATGAACATTGTACTGCATACTTTTTCTCCAGGTCACTTCCAAGTCTTTTTTTTTTTTTTTTTCTGGGTGCCTTTGATTTGATTTCTTCGTGTATCACGTTATCAATCTATTTATCCAATAAAGTGTCGTCATATATTTTGAATTTACCTAAATATTTTAGATAACCTCTTTCTTACGCAAGAAAAACTTTGTCCATCGCATGCCCATTGGATAGACACAAACTGAGATAATAACTATGTCTATTGAACTTGATTACAGTCTGAATCATACTAAACAAGTCAATTGTTTTAAGCTATGAAATAATACATATGTCAAACTGATTACATGCGATTGACAGAGAAAGGAGTAACAGATGTGCCAATTAGTCAATATTGTTCTTAATTAATTTCTTTGTCATAATCATCTTACAATTGAATATTGACATTCACCCAGGATTAAATTATTAAAAAAAGACTAAGTTATTTCAACATCTCTACCTACTTACGCCTGGCTAAAAAATAAAAAATAAAAAAGCATGAACCATCCTGGTTCAAACCTATGCTCTTTCAACACCTTAACAAAGTTATTTGATCTCAAGGTATTTGCTTTAAAATGGCCTCATAGGTTATAGTTGTTGCCTCTTAATTTTCACTCTCTTTTTTAAGCTATTGACAGGTGAATCCAACTATTGCTGCTCTTTGAATAATGTAAGAGGTTAACAATTTGTGATATGTGTTTATCTAATTGTTTTGAACAATTCATTTTGTGACTCTAAAGAAACTGATTTGTAAGGTTATTTGGTCTTCCTAAACGCCTTGTAAAAAATTGTGGTCTTGGTGGTTGCAATATCAGCGTCACCTCAATCTGTCTCTCTCTCATTTTTCAACAAAGTGAAAGCTATTAGAATACAGATCCCAATGATGCACAAACCGTAACCGTTGCTTGAATTTCATAAAAGCTAATCAACTAAAACGTACACATTATCAAATTTAATATGTTTCAGACTTTGAGAAACATAATTAGTTTCAGATTTTGTGCTAGATCTTCATACATAAACAAAGGTTGATCCATCACCTTCGTGGCTGGTTCCTTTAACCATGTCAAGTCAATAACATAATTAAGATGACAAAAATCATTCATGATCCACCCACTTGTTTATTTACTGAACCGTTGAGATTCTGCTATGATTTTCACTGACTCTTGCTACGAAAACACACAAGTTTCAGACAGACTGCAGGCTAGGTATTTAAGTTGAAGAGGGAGGCAACAAAATCATCACATGCATTAACGATTATAGGTGAATTAAGTTGATTAAATATTAACGTATCTTAATAATGCAGATGAATGATGGCATAGTCAGAAGAGTTTCCCAATCCCACGTTAACCTTCGGGTCAAGTTTTATAGCTAAATTATTTGACAATGTTCTTGTAATTAGGAATGGAATCTTGCTTTCATAGTTTTCTAGACGTTGACTCTATCGAATTCTACAATGCAATCTTTCAAATCCGAAACAAACTTCAAGCATAAACCAATTCTAGTTTTTTCTTTTTGTAATATATAATTTGGTGTTATAGAACCTTCTTTTTCGTTGTTTGTTTATCTTGACATTAAATAATATTTCATATTATAACTATGATGATAAATGTTACATTGAAAAAAAAAAAAAACTTGAAATATCGATTGTGATATTACAACTGAGCTGTCACAGTCTAAATTTCTAAAGTCGTATACGCATTTTTTTTCTTTGTTTTACATTATTGGGTAAGCAAGAAAACCCCCACAATTAATCTCTTTTATCAACTCGTTTTGTGCATCAACTAGAAAACATCAGGTGGGTCTGTTTTATTTTTTCATACTCTATTCCCAAAATATCTGTTTGTTTAATTATTTGGGAAATACTATTTTATTTTTTAATATTTTTTAGACCTTTTAAGTTTATTAATTTAATTAAACACTCCTAAAAAAAAGTTTAAAAATTAATAAAAACACTCTCAACCACTCATAGTTGTCAGATTCTGACAACTACTGTTGATGGTTGCCAGAATCTGTCACAATGACATAGAAACTACCAAAACTAACCGATAATTCGTCGATCTGTAACGGCCAAAGAAATGATCGTATATTTGGCCATTAATCTAGCCTTTTGCGACCACCGACGATCATATCTGACCGTAGATCTGATATTTTTTAGCTAGATCTGTGATGGATTTGGCCTGAAAAGGCCATATCGACCCATTTTGTGCATAAATTAGAAAACAACATTTCCTCCCTAAATTTGGCCTAAATCCCTTGCGTCCACAAGAAGTTTTTAGTTACTTGTGGTTGTGGCCCCTGTCAGCATTCTGTCGTCACCTTATACCAAACGATGTAAGCGCCTTTTTGTCTCTTCCTATATTTAAACTAAATTTTTGAATTACATTAATAACATTTAACAGAAACTGAAAAAGGTTAAACGTAAAACAAGCCCTCTCTTACGCGCCTTTCCCTCGCCTGCACCCGGGCACCCAGCGCAGCTCCACAACCTCGCGCCGCGCAGCCTAACCCATTCCGGGCAATAAACATTGCCTTCCTCAATCCCACCCCATAGCCTTTTCTCCTAAACTTGATTCAACATGTCCTTATCTGAATCCAAACCGAGAATTTAAGGGTTTTATTTTTCTTTCCTGGAGTGGTGGAGCTAGTGGTAGTTTCGACAGGTTCCATGGATGTTGGTAGGCGTGCAATTGCTTGCTGTGTTAACGGCCACATCACAGTGAAAGAAAATGAGTTGAGTGGTGTGGTGCAGATTCTAGGTTCAATCTGGGTGTTGCACGAGTGATTCAATTATTCAAATTTCTGGCTGTGAAAAGTGGGGATGTGGCATTCAATACCCCCTGCCTCTATCCCAACTCATTCGTGATCAGTCCAAAAAATTTAAGGGCCTTTAGTAATATCAATTACATAACACTCAACTTTCTCACTTTCATCCCTTTCATTTTATTTTGCTTACTTTTATCTTTTCTTGAGTTAATTATTAGATAGTACCACTTAAATTATAACACGTTATTAGTGTAATGTTGCACCCAACTTAATGTAAGTATTTCAATCTTATATGTGTTCTTTAATCTTTGTTTCCACATTTATGACTGGATTTATTTATTATTTTCAAACTCCGCCTCTATAGTCGGATTTATTTATTATTGTTAAATTTCACTTCTCTGGTCGGATCTATTTATTATTGTTGAATACCGTTTTTATGGTCGGATCTGTTTATTCTTCTTGAATACAACTTTTATAGCTGGATCTGCTTTTATTATATTTTCGATAACCAATATTAGTAATTGTGTTTCCATCTTATATTTGATAAATGAACTTGAAGTTTCATAAATAAATATCATTTTAGAACTTATAATTCTTAATATTAATTACAAACATGAAGTTTGTAAAACAAAGACAAAAAAGGGACTTGAAGTTTCATATCATGAAGATGAAGTTCTGTAAACATCCTTACTAATGTAATTTTTTTTTAAGGATGGACTTTGAAACTGAGACATCGATATTCGATAATGGTGGAGACATTTATATAGTAGACAGTGCAACAACGCACACCATCCTTCGGGATAGAAAATACTTCTCAGGTTTAATCTTTACTGAAGTTAAAATAAATACCATATCAGGATTTGCAAACATAATCGAAGACTCTGGAAGAGCAACACTCTTGTTATCAAGTGGAACTAAATTAAGTATCCATGGTACTTTATATTCTAGCAAATCCAGAAAATTGGTGGCCATCCGCCGCCTTAATATGAGACGGTGAAAAGTGGGGGGTCTGGCTATAAATACCCCCCATCCCAATTCATTTGTGATTAATCCAAAAAATTTGAGGGGCTTTAGTAATATCAATACCATAACACTCAACTATCACTTTCATCCCTTTCATTTTACTTTGCTTACTTTTATTAGATAGTACGACTTAAATTACAACAATTTCGGATTTGTTTGNATGCAAAGCTGTGCTTTGAACCATATTCCTCGTCCTCCAAAGCTTGGGAGCTCCAGTCTCTCCCACTTCCATTTCTCTCAAAACTGTAGTTCCTGGAGTTTCAATCGAATCAACTCTGAATAAACTACTTCTAGTACTAAGTAGAAGTTTCACCACACCAGCGTGGCCAGCCCTAGCTGCAACATGGAGTGGAGTGTCACCCTTTGAGTTTTTATGGCTTGCGAGGAATGGAGATGCTTGGAGAGCCTCACGAACAAAAGTTTCATGTCCCAGCTTTGCAGCTATGTGAACTATATTGTTCTCCCGATGTGTCGGCAAGAGGAGATTATTGTCACTACCTTGGATGAACTGCTTCAAAAACTCAACGTTTCCCTCTCTTGCTGCCTTGTACATCAAGCAATCCATAGCTTCTTCAATGGCTCTAAATTGGGTATACGATTAGCAGGTTGTCTTTGCTCTTTACACTTAACTGAAACAGGGAATGAAAATTCAAGACAGGAGAAAGAAAATGATGAAGTCAAATGGAGGACGCTTGTAGGAGTGGTTTTGCAACAAGAACAAAGTCATCTCTGCAAGTTTCAAAGTTGAAAATTTCACTGGTGCGATGCAAGTAACGCATAGAAAGATTTTGACAGCCGTGAAATAGTTGAAAATTTCACTTGTAGGACCATCTGGGTATCATTTCCATTGGATCCTGACTGATTTATTTGACCTGGTCTTCTCTATATATTATTTTTACTGGTGTAGTGTTATGTTATTAGATTAGAATTGATTCAACCACTTTCAATTAACTTGGGGAGGCCCTTCTGGTTCATTAAACAGCACTATCATTTGTCTTTTTAACTTGTATCAACATCTATAATTCTTAACAAGTTACAAGGATGTCATAACCAATACCACTTATAAAAACAAGATCCTAAAAGAAAATGAAGAAGGGTGTTATGATTACAATACAAACATGACATTAAAACTTGAAAACAGAATGATCTTTGAGTTATATCAAATAAGATTAACTAGTACCCCAGCGCGGCGATCTGCCTTGATTGTATACAGTAGTAATATTTGAATTCCTTCTTCCAGGGCTGTAGGAGATAATTGGTTTCTTCATTGTTCCCTTGAGATATTTTATAACAAGTGGGGTTGAAGTAGAAGACTTCTGGCCCAAAAATTTGATGAGAAATGGAACACTGGAGCCCATGATGATGACAACGATGGCTAACCATTTACTCTTTGGTGATATAACAGTGTACAATCCANTCCCTTTCTTATATATATTTCAAGTGATATAATATTATTCCATTATTGATGCTACCAATATAAATGAGTGTCACTACATATTGCATTGCATATAAAATTTATGGTAAAATACATGTTAGGGCCACAGCCCATAATTTTTTTCAAGATATTTAACCACGGTGGCCTGGCTTTTGTAAGGCTGAATTAATGAGCACAGATAAGCAATTGCTTTCCCCGTCCTGTATTTCACATGAGATCAAATTATACAGGAAACTGTCACTTGCTCTTTTACTTTCCTTCCTTTCTGTTTGTTTGGCACATATATGTAGTCACGACGTGGTAAAATGCCAAATTACACTATGAAACGAGGCCTTTTATTACTCCTGAAAATCATGCAGCGATTTCGTTCCAATTCCCAGATTCTGTTAAACTAACTAAATAAATGCATACTACTTGGATTAATATTTCCTTGGGAATCCTAGAGCATCAGGGATTCAGCTGAATGGTTTCCAATTTGCTAAGAAACCTCTATATTACTAAAAAACGAGTCTGTATGGGATAAGGTGCATTGAAATGTGATCGTGTAATAAATTTAATGGGGCCGCAAATAAACCGACACTTTTGAAGTAGCCCAATATACACCTATGATAGTTTAACACATTCTCCGGCGTGTCGGTTAGTTTTCCTTTAAATCCTGGAATGAAGGGCCTTCTGCATATTACCGCAAAGTCTTTTCAGCTGTCAGCTGTGCACCAAACATAATGCACCCAGTGTTTTGCCAGACTTGTCATTGGCCATTAAGACTCACACCAAACTTTCTAAATTAAATTTCCATCTGGATCCTATCAATTTGAGTCAGTTTCCTCCCTCATTTCATACTATTCTAATCTGCAATCGCTCTACATGATGCTAAGTGGCATGGCATTGGCATACATGTATAATTTATTACTCTTCTTTGTTCAAATCCTGATACTAGTCCCCAGTTCTAGAGCTAAAGTTCCAGCCATCATAGTTTTCGGAGACTCCACTGTGGATACGGGTAACAACAACTATATACCTACCATTGCCAAGGGCAATTTTCAGCCTTATGGTCGTGATTTTCCTGGAGGTTTTCCCACAGGACGCTTTTGCAACGGCCGCCTTCCGCCTGACTTCCTTTCTGAGTATTTTGACCTCAAACCAACCATACCTGCCTACTTGGATCCTGCGTATAACATATCAGATTTTGCCACTGGAGTTTGCTTTGCTTCAGCAGCAACTGGTTATGACAATGCCACTGCTGATATTTTAGTAAGTGTCATACACTAATTGGCTAATCAGAATCAAATTATGCAATCTCAACTGATCAATATGTTTCATGTTTAATAAATATCTTGCAGCAAGTGATCCCTTTATGGAAGGAAGTAGAGAATTTCAGGGACTACAAAAAGAGATTGAGTGATTATCTTGGTATTGAGAAGGCAAACGAAATATTAAGGGAGGCTATATATATAGTGAGCATAGGAACAAACGACTTCATAGAAAACTATTACCCAATGCAAATGCGGCGTTCTCAATTCACTGTCTAAGAATACCAGGATTTCCTTATCGGAATTGCAGAAAATTTCTTCAACCAAATTTATCATCTTGGCGCTCGAAAAATATCCTTAACTGGGCTGTCGCCAATGGGGTGTCTACCATCGGAGAGAACCGCAAACTTCCTGGATCCTTTTAGTTGTAATGAAGAATACAATAATGTTGCTTTGGAGTTCAATAGAAAGATGAAGAATTTTGTTGCGAAGCTGAACAGGGAGCTTCCTGGGATCAGAGTTGTTTATTCAGAAATTTATGACTTTATTCTGGAAATCATAATAAAACCTTCCAAATTTGGTAAGTATTGGAGTTACATTCAGTAATGACTATTGAGCATATTCATGCATCAACATCAACTGCTATGAGATTTTTAGCTTCTCTTTAGTTAGGGGAATTATGATAACAGGAAAGTCCAAGCAATTGTGAAGTTCAATTATAAATTGAATGAACCCATTTAATCCTTAAAAGTAAACTAATAATTCTGATTCTGATATTTGTCAGTAATCATAATTGTTGTATCAGAAAAAACAGTGGGAGATGGAAATTCTAAGATGATTTTGAGAAGAAGTAAAAAAGTGGGAGATGGAAATTCTAAGATGATTTTGGGAAGAAGTAAAAAAAATCGTCTCTTAAATTAAATAATTTTCTTTCTGTCGCATACAACATTTTTGTTTTGGATTTTTTTATTTATTTATGAAGTTTAATTGTTATCAATTTCCAGGATTTGAAGTGGCAGAAATTGGATGTTGTGGCACAGGGACATTTGAGGCTGGTTTTTTATGCCATCAAGATAATCCATTTACGTGCACAGATGCAGATAAGTATGTATTTTGGGATTCTGTTCATCCCACAGAGAAGACAAACAAAATAGTCTCTGAATATCTACTCAAGTATCTCAAATTATTTCTTTAATTCAGTCACTTCTCAATTTCTATAAACCATTAATATATGCAAAAATGTTACTCGATAATATGATTATATTTCTTCATATAAAGCAATGTTATTATTGGTGAAGGGAATAAAAAAATTGAGTTCGAATCAGATACAATGTACAATTAGAAGATGTTATAGAGAAGTAAAACCATTATACGTTACTGCTTAGAAGTTAGAAGACAAAAGTTAAAGTGCAATTCAGGCTGGAATCATGAACACATTATTAGAAAGGAAGCTGTTGAAGATGATGATATCTTGCTGGAAATGATGAAGTCAACACACGGTGGGAGTTGAAATGCTGCTGTGCGTGCAGAGCTTGTTTTTGGTCACTGTATAAGAAATATTTCAGTGATGTGTTTAGGTGAATTGGGTTGATAAAATGATGTATTTTGATATGTTTGTACGTGCATTAGTTGGTGTGTTTAGTTTAAATTTTAAATTTGCAGCTTTAGGTGGAACAGTGGCATGTGCTTTGTATAAATCTACCCCTGTTTTTTTAATGTAAAACAGAGCAAATTTCAGTTCAGATTTTCTCTCTCTACAGCTCTCTCTCACGTCTGTTTTTTGTCCTCTTTCCTTGATATACTCAAGCTCTAAAAACCAACAAGTGGTATCAGAGCTATTGTGATCTTTCAGGGCCTGGAAAAACAAAAACCTCTTAACAAAACTCAACACCATACGTAATCATCTTCATGGCAGCAACTCCAGCTTCACTTTCTCCACCCATCTTCAATGGAGATCAGTTCCATGTATGGGCTGTCAAGATGAAGACTTATTTAAGAGGCCATGGGTTGTGGCAATGCATGGAGGAGGAGAAGCAAGTTCCTCAGTTGGGAGCAAACCCCACACTGAACCAAATCAGGATTCATGAAGAGGAGATGTCTAAAGCACCAAGGGCCCTATCTTACATACACTCGACAATGACAGACCAAGTCTTCATTAGGATTATGGCATGTGAAACTCCTAATGAGGCTTGGGATAAGCTTAAGGAGGAGTTTGGGGGCAGCAATACAACACGCAACATGCAGATTCTAAACTTGTGAAGAGAATTTGAGATTCTTAAGATGCAAGAGGCTGAGTCTGTCAAAGAGTATGTAGATAGGCTGATGAATGTGGTGAAAAAGATTAAGCTACTTGGTGAAGAGTTGACTGACAAGAGGATAGTAGAGAAGGTTTTGGTCAGTTTACCTGAGAGATTTGAGGCAAAAATCTCTTCACTTGAAGACTCCAAAGACCTGTCCCAGATCAGCTTAGCAGAACTTGTGCATGCTCTTCAAGCACAAGAGCAGAGAAGATTGCTGAGGCAGGAAGACTCAAGTGAAGGAGCCATGATAGCAAGCCAAAACAGGAGGTATGCTGGAGAGAAGGGAAATGAGGAAGTTAACAACGAAAGAGGAAAAAATGCAGGACTGAGAACCTTTCCTCCTTGTCCTCACTGCAAGATAAAAAACCACTCTAAAAATAGAAAGGAAGGCCATTCATACCAAACTGTATATTTTTTTAAGTTAAAAAAAAAACAATAGAGGTTAGCGCAAATGCCTTTAAGCTTAACACGCTATATTTGTATGGCTCTTGTTTGTTCAAATCCTCGTACAATCTCCTCAATCTGAAGCAAAAGTTCCAGCTATCATAGTTTTCAGAGACTCCTTTGTGGATACAGGTAACAACAATTATATACCCACCGTTGGCAGGAGCAATTTTAAGCCTTATGGTCGTGATTTTCCTGGAGGTGTGCCCACTAGACGTTTTTATAATGGTCGCATTTTCCCTGACTTTCTTTCTGAATCTGCTGGCCTCAAACCAACAATACCTGCCTACCTGGATCCAATGTATAATATATCAGATTTTTCAGTTGGAGTTTGCTTTGCTTCGGCTGCAGTTGGCTTTGACAATTGCTCTGTTTATCTTCTTGTGAGTGCATGAAATTATTTAACTTCATCAAAAATATGGCTGGAAGCCTGGAACTGATATGTGATTTGTTGTTTTTGCTATAGCCAAACGATTTGCGCATACCCAAGGTTTGTCGAAACAACAAGTTGATACCCAAAAGATTTTGAAACGACAAACAGGTACCTTCCGTCATGTGCGGTTAGTGATTTCTGTTTGTTAACAGTGAAAATACTAAAATGCCCTTGAGTTTGATATTTTAGTTTTTTTAAAATTTCTAAAAAACCCCCTAGGTTTGCTAATTTAACTAAACACCCCCATATATAAAAAGTTTGTTAAATGACAAAAACACCCCACCACCTGCGGCCAAATTCTGGCCACCACCGCCGGAATCTGGACGAAAATTGCTTTACGACACATACCCGATCGGATCTGTGTCGTAACACGCCGATCTGGCCCTTTCCGGCCAGATCCGCTGCCAGATCTGGCCGTCAACGCCGCAGATGGAGTTTTACGGCCACGACGGCCAGATCTAGCCGTAGATCTGGCCTTTTCCGGCCAGATCAGCCACGGATCTGGCCAGAAAAGGCCATATCGGCACGTTACGACACAGATCCGACGAGATTTGTGTCGTAACGCAATTTCTGGCTAGATTCCGGCGGTGGTGGCCAGAATCTGGCCGCAGGTGGTGGGGGTGTTTTTGTTATTTAACAAACTTTTTATATATGGAAGTGTTTAGTTAAATTAGCAAACCTAGGGGGTTTTTTAGAAATTTTTTAAAAACTAAAATATCAAACTTCAAGGGTATTTTAGTCTTTTCACTTTTAACAAACAGAAATCACTAACAGCACATGACAGAAGGTACCTATTTGTTGTTTCAAAACCTTTTGGGTACCAACTATCGTTTCGACAAACCTTGGGTATGCGCAAGTCATTTGGCCTTTTGCTACTGATGTTTTATATCCCAGAATGTGATAAGTCCATGGCAGGCACTAGAGTATTATAAGGAGTACCAAAATAAATTGAAAGTGTATCTTGGTGTCAAGAAGGCAAACAAAATTTTAAATGAGGCTTTATATACAATAACCTTAGGAACAAACGACTTTCAACTAAACTATTACATAATTCCTGGTCGAAGATTCCAAATCACTCTCAACCAGTACCAGGATTTCGTCATTGGAATTGCTGAAAATTTCTTTAAGCAACTTTATCATCTTGGAGCTCGAAAAATAGCCTTCACTGGACTGTTGCCATTTGGGTGTATGCCAGCCAGTACATAGAACCCTAAATTTCCAGGGTCATAATCATGAATGTAATGAGCAATACAACAGAGCGGCTTCCAAGTTCAATGGGCAGTTGAAGAATTTAGAAGCAAAGCTTAAGAACGAGCTTCTTGGAATCAGAGTTGTGTTTGTACAACTGTATAACATTATCTTGGAAATGATCAAAAACCCTTCCAAATTTGGTGAGAACTGGCTGAGTGATTTCTTTTTTTTTTTTTTTAATCACATCAGTCTGAGCATGTTGAGTTTTTGCTTTTTATAGTCCAACCAACTATAAAAATAAAATAAAACAAACAACTTGAATGGACCTATTTACTGTTTACACAAACAAAGCTGAATTTTCCCCCTTAAATCTATTTGCCTTTTGTCCTATAAACCATTTTGTTTTAGACATTTTATCTCAAAAAATTCAGGATTTGAGGTGGCAGAATTGGGATGTTTGCACAGGGAGAATGGAGTTTAGTTTTCTATGCAATCAACTAGTCCAAGTACGTGTAGAGATGCAAGTAACTACGTTTTCTGGGAGGCAGTCCATTTTACAGATAAGGCAAATAAAATAACCTCCGATCATATGCTGTAGTGTGTCAAACTATTTCTTTAATTTGCTATAATGTAATAGTTTGTTTCTTGAATCTTAAGACTTGTTTATGTTTGAAAATTAGACGAAGTGGATGAAGAGAGGCAGTCCAAATCCATGATGGAGGTATTGCTCCTCCAGCAAATGCGATTAACGGCGTAGAAAGCAGTGGTGTCGAGGGAAGGAAAATAAAAAAAAAAAAGCCGACATTGTTTGCCTGATCCATATTTGAATGGATTGTTTCTTTGTTTGAATACCTTTTCGTGTATTTCCATGTCCACCACAAATCTGAGTAACTATTGTATATAATATATGATTGTCTATTGAGAAACATAGCAGCAAGAAGAAAAATCCAGATTTTCTAAAAACCCAAAGAAAAAAAAAAAAGGTAAACTTAGATATGAATGTCTATATTTGAAGTTTTTAATATTAGTAAAGTTGTTTTGAAAGTCCAAGTCCAACCAAGTAATTTCCAACATCACCCATACACAGTTTAAATTGCACTGATGGTAAGTAAATTTTAAAGAATAATGTTATATTTACTCCACTTTTTTACATCATTTTCATTATATTATGATGTGACATATATCAAAATTACATAAATTTTATTATAATATTAAAAATTAAAAATAATTAAAAATTTAGGTGATTATAACGTATATCACATCAAGATATAATGAATATGATATAAAAGAAAGGTATAAATGTATAATTAATTTTAGTCTTCTTACTCTACTTTTTGTTTTTTCAATTGCACATAACAATGACAAAGAAACCATACAGAGAGGCGTGAAAAAAGGGTCTTACGTCCTTAATGACTAATCTTAGGCTTTCCCAGAGACAATTATAATTTCTGCTGGAAGTTACTTATACTCTCTCCGATTGCACTGATACCTTCCAATTGAGTACAGAATTTGCCAGTTCACCATTTACAGTTCAATACCCCAAGGGAGTTGGTCAAGACAGAACATGAGAGCATAAATGTTTAAACACAGAACACAGTGTGTACAAAATAACTAATTACTTTTTATGCAGTTTTGAGTACATTATTTCCAGTAAGTTTGCAGTAGGAACAATTACAAACCATGATGCATTACATGATCTCTATATTCATACCAATATTTCAAATAATAATACCAAGTTGGCTGCAGAGACAACCTTATTTCACTGTATTATAGTATGAAGATGAGTGCATAATAATTGCTCATGCAGTTGCTGCTTCAATTTTTCTGGCTTCGAGCGTCTTCTCGTATTCCTCAATGGACTTGAAGAGCTCTGAAAAGTTACCCTTCCCAAAGCCTCCACAGCCCCCCTTTTGGTAACTCTTCCCTTCATTATCCTTGAGCATGCATCCCACTCTCTGAATTATCTCTATAAAGATAGTTGGCCTGCCAAAATGAAATGTATAAAGCCGATGAAAACATCAATAGAAATCTGGATCTTTCGTTCCTTAACAGAAGAAAGTATGCCAATGTACTTGAGGGCAAAATACAACCAACTCAATCAGATACAATTATAACACACAAGTATAAAATTTCACTTATAAACAAGCAAGGAACTAGTATGCAAAATTAGGAACATAAAGAGAAGAAAGTATTTTGTTTATGGCGTTAACTAAAGCAATTTTGCTTATGCCCATCAAGATTTGATGAAAATATACTTGAGCATAACAATAAAATCACAAAATTGGAGTAAAATATATTCATAAACACATAAGAAAAATGCCATAAGGAAAAGGATATATACCTATCACCAATAGGCTTAGTAAAAATCTGGAGAAGAGTACCCTGATCATCTCTATCAACCAAAATCCCTAATTCCTCACACTCTTTAATCTGCTCATCACTCAACACATCACCAGCACGATTCTTCAAATTCTTGTAATATGTTGGCGGTGGTGACGGCATAAACTCAAATCCACCAACTCCACTTCTCTTCCTCATTTCCCTTAATGTTCTGAATATATCTTCACTCGCAAGAGCCAAATGCTGCAACCCAGCTCCCTCGTTGTGCTCCAAATAAGTCTGTATCTGACTCTTACGCTTCGTCCCAAACACTGGCTCATTCATCGGAAGCAACACCATTTCATCATTGCTAGATAAAACCACTGAGTTCAGTCCACTCTCACTCGTCCCAACATCTTCCGCTGTAAACTCAGCAAACTCATGAAACCCAGTAAATCCTTTCACATAAGAAACAGCAGGGCCCAGTTCAGGCACGTTCCCCACCGCGTGATCAAGCCGTCTGATCCCGTAATCCAACGGGAACGACGAAAGTTCGTCCGTTCGTTCGAATCCGGGTAAGAATAAACAAGAATCAAAATTATTCCCACTCTTGTAACTCACATATCGCAAAACGACGTCGCCGTAGAGATGAACCTCGGAAATAACAGCACGGTTGTCGAGAATCTTAGGAGAAGAAACGGGCTTAGCACCGTGGTCCACACTCGTATTAAAAGCAATCTCAGCATCTTCAACTTCAACACCAACTGACCTCACAGCGAGGCCATGAGATATAGCAAAGGCCCGACAAGAATCGTAGCTAAAAGTTGGGATAGAAGCAGTGTCTTTGTAATCATCGCCAGCAACGGAAGGCGAATAGGGCGCCGTAAAGAGGAAATTAAGTTCACCAGAGCGTAAAAGGTAGGATGCATGAACCATGTTGCCGGTGGATAAATCGGATTTAGCAATAATGGGCATGCCGAGTCCCCAGGAGAAACGACGTGCCGTATTGGTGGCATCGGTACACCAGAATTCGATGTGGTGGAACCTCTTGACCTTAAAGCGGTCTGATTTTGGGTTGTGGCGGACGAAGTTTGAAAAGCCGACTAGCTTAAAGGAGTCGTCGTTTTGCTTGCCCATTGTTGGAGGTTGTGTGGCTTGGCTTGGTTGAGTGGATGTTTTAAAGAAAGATTAAAAGTGATGACCTTAACTACAACGGCCCAGCCTTATAAGTGGTTTTAATCTTTCTGAGCCAGTTTGAGACGTCTGAGGCAGGTTTAATTGTTTTGTTTTGTTTTGTTTTATCCCTCTGACGTGGATCATTTGTCATGCTTATCGGCTGAATCAGAAAGATCTACGGCGTCGATATCATTACCTTGGATAATCCTTGATATGGTAACGTGGCTACCTAATCCCTCGATTTATGGAAGAAACAAAGAGACAAGGAAATAAATATTATTAATATGCAAGAGTTGTGTTTTTTTTTCTTTTATCCCTTCCTTATATTATTAGTTATGAGTCATGACATGAATTTTAATCCTCATCATAAGTAAGTATCCACAAATTTAAATATAAAATAATATGACTTTTTTTTTAGTTTGATAAACCATAAATATTATTTATTTATTATTTAATAAAGATTAGGAAAAATCGTTTGAATGCATTAAATTATATTAATATTTTAATAGCTTTAATATGTGCCAACATGTTCTTAAATTAATTCTAAAGACACGTTATGTATTGTTCCACGCGCAATATAAGACAATAAAAGTAGATATCAAAGATAGTCGAATTATTTACGACTCCTATCCTATAACTATCGGGGACAGCTTTAATATATATAACAAGAAGACGAATCACATTTTGATTGTGTAACTAAATCCTATCACTAGAATAATCAAATTACTAGTCCAGAATTGTCAAACAAATCAGAACAGGAACATATTGAGAAACGTAATCTTTGAACAAATACTCATACAGCATCAGATGCATGAACAGATTGAATTTTGAATATGAACTATGAAGTGATAATTGAATGACAACTTGATTTGTGATTCAAGTTATTTCACTCGTCATGCTCATGCAATTCACGGCCTTGAAGAGCTGAGCAACCCAAAGTTGCACATTCCAAATCCCCCACGCTCCCTTCCTCATTCTTCACCAATACCAACATGCATCCATCCCATTCTTTGTCTTATCTCTACAAACATGATTTACCTGCCAATCTCCCATTAATTACATATAAAATTAATACTTAAACCAAAAAGGATCTGACAGAGGATTCAATCTCATGATTTGCAATCTATGATGGACAAGACAAGCATCCTAATCGAATTTGGGCCTGAAAAAATTTACTTTATGAGAAGTATACTATTTTCACCTCTACTTGCCCATATGTTTTCCGGTACATCCAATCCTATCCCGAGTATTTTACGATTCCAAAAGATAGACTACAGCATTTAATCAGATATGTTATCATATACGCATTTATCCACCCAGACTTTTAACAACAGTCGATCGATAACACATGGGAGCATACGAGGAAGGGCCTGTTAATTAAAGCTAAGAAGGTTTATATATTTGCAAAATTGGCTAATTTACACAGATAAACTAAAAGTTTTCATCATCGTGTATTTATGAGTTGATCTTCTTCATCCTCCGGATTCTCAAGAGCTAACATGTGCTTCTTGAAAGAAGCTGCAGCTTCTTCTCTTTCTGCTACTTGCCCCAATTTGTCGAATACAATGGCCATCAAGTAGAAAGCCTCGGCTGCCAATTCATGATACTGAGCAAAAATATAAAAAAGAAATGTTTCAATAACAAACTCTAGAACACCAAAAATGAGTAAACAGAAAACTAGCGTTAAAGAAATAAATCAAAACAAAACATCAACAAGAAGTCAAATCACTGAGGAACAACAATAAAGGAGGTTGGATGGATTAAACTACAATTTCCCATTAGATAACTATTTTTACAAGTTCGACCTAACCCAGTGATTAAGATGTATTCCACTTTCCTGATTCAGACATTAGGTTCAATTAATTATACAATCTCATGCAAAAGTTCTGTGAATATTTTTAATAAGCAGATATTTTATCAAAAAAAAAAAAAAGCAAAACATTTGGCAACATTACAGACTTGAGAATTCTCAGAATTTAGACTGAGATATCTAGCTTTAGCCAACAAATGCATAGTAATCATAAATTCAACTTACCTCTAAAACTTGAAGTTCGTCTGAAGCTTGCCTTAAAGGATCCAGCACAACTTCAGGATTTTGAGAAACTGAAGTGAAATTCAACAAGCATATATAAGAACACGATCAATCTAGTAAAATTCCAACTCCCAAAAAAGATAACTTCAAGCATCCATACAAGAACAATGATACATGATGCTAGAATTATGAATATGACCTTTGACGATAGAATATTTAACATATGATAAGCAATGATAAATGATACTTAACATAAAAACATATGGACGGAATACAGGATGTTCATTTGTTACCCCTTCAATAGGTCTCTAGTGACAATGGAAGAATTAATTGTTCAAATTTAGTTTCTTGTTCATCAATTTATCCTCTCTTTTTCACTTAAAAATTTTAAGCAATGCTAAGCCAACATGTTGAAGTGTAGTTACTTCCTACAGTCTCTCATCAAAGGAACAATTGATTGTTTGAATACAAATATCTTGTTTGTCATTTACCGATAAAACTATACGTTGCTGTCTCTCACACATCCTTTCCAACTCTTTCAACTAGATTTTTTGAGTTACTCAAGTAAGAGTTAGTTTTTATGTTTTCTTCTTTTAGTAGGTATCATTATGTCCCACTCATATACGTAGATAGCAACCCAACTGGCTTACAAATAAAGTTCTAACCAATAAACAACAAAAAACACGAAAGAATCAAGTTATATCTGTTATTTTATTTGAAATGTAGCCAAGTATTCCCAGCAATGGACTAAGTCAGTTACTCAGGCATGTCAATCCTTATACAGAAAGACTATATTGTTTTTGTCCTTTGTTCAAAATGAAGAGTACCTGAAAAGCTTGGATCAGACAGTAAGCATTTTGCCTCAGCAATAAATGCTCGAGCACGGAGTTCTAGACCTCCATGACCAAGAATCATTGGAAGAGCCTGTTGTATAAGGGTTGAAGCCCTTTTTGCATGGTTAGAACCAAGAGAAAGCCACAACTCAGCCAGTGTAAGAGTGGCTGATGCTTTAAGAAGATCCAAATTAAATGACTGGCAAAATGATAGGCTTGCCAATGCATATGGAAGACCTAAAACAGCATTGCCTGATTTCTGAGAACCACATATAAAAGAAGGAATCAATTTAGTAGCACTTCAGAGCAGAAGGTAGAAATATACATATAATATATATGCAAGGATGACTAGTCCCATATGTATGCACTATTTTGTAAATTTACAAAAAAGTCTCCATCTATGAATTAATCCAACTTTGAGTCTCTGATAGCCATGCGGTTCTAATGTTAACGATATAAACTGAATAAATATTTAGAAAATCAACCGAGCGCATTTCAGATAAATTTCACAACTTTGGAAACAAACATAAAAGTCCCTTCTGTTTATACTTTCAAGGGTTAGGGATACACCTTTAAGTTGTCAGAATGTTACCGTCTCAACCGGCTAGGGCAGGAATAAATAAAAGAATTTGATAACAAATTTATGATATATGCATCAATACAGTAAACTGACATGTGTCCAATCTAGTTGAATATTAAAACCTTTTTGTATCATGATCAACTTAACCGTTGTACCTTGTGAATTTCAGCAAGCAGCAGGAGAACAGTGGCATTCTCAACCTGCAGATTGAATTTGTAACACATGCAAAAGAGAGAGTGTACAACAGCTGCTGCCTGCAAGGAATGTTGAGTGAAAATACAGAAGTAAAAAAGAGGGGGGAAAAGGTGAATTGAAAACAATAACTGAGTCAAACTTAGGCAGACTTCAAGGTTTATTTTCATTTAAGTGTTAAAATTATGGCAGTAACAAACTGAACCAAGAAGTTCATGTTGGTTTGTTTCGCTTTTTAACACATTACCAACCTAAGATAAATGCTTGTCTCACTATATATAGTAAAAATTATTCTATTGAATAAAAAGATAAATCAACAATCTTTAAGTTGCAACATGCATATCACAGCAAAATAGTCTTTACAATATTTCTCTTTACAAATTTTAGTGAATCTAGAAACCCATGCAATCAGAGATTATTACTACTCAGTTCCATCACAACCAAAAGTATTTTCAAATTGCATGAAAACTGAAAGCATTAAGTTTGGCAAATGGAGTAAAACTAGCTAAAATACACAAAATTCATGTGTGCCTGTGTGCATCAAACCTGGCTGAACTGGTTTGCTGCAAGCAATGTACGCGCATGGCGAAGGCTAGCTTCTGTTTTCAGCTCCATGTCCACACCAGTTACAGATGAAGCCATGACTCCAAGTTCATCACATACTTGTTGGGCTAGCTTCAGATTTCCTCTGAACAATTTAATGAAATTAAACACAATTGACAAGTTCAGATTTCCTCTGTGAGAACATTATGTAGTTAGTAAAAATAAAGAGTGAAGCAACTTTTGGTAACATTACTGATGTAAAGCCCGCTCATGGAGCAGCTGCAACTTTAGTAGCAATATTTGTGATTTTGAGACCGATAAAAACTTTTCCTCTGCTATTTTAAGGGCTGAAAAGGCCTCTGAAAGTACTCCAACAAAAAAAAAGTTCAGGTTTTTGTAGATCAAAATTTACAATATGAAAATGCAGATAAGACACAATTATTAACTTTACACTGCTAAATGTTGGATGAGCTTCATATAAGAAATTCACACAAAAAAAACTGACCTTTGTATCCTTTAAATACTGCTAAATGTTGGATGAGCTTCACATGAGCTAACGCTGCATCAGATAAACTGGAGAAGTCCAGAAAAAGGTCAATCTCATGCTGACAAGGGTTTTTTAAAAAAACAAAAAAACAAAAACAAAAACAAAAAAGTTAAAGATTCAAACGTGAAAGTACCTTAAACCATCAGCAAAGCAGGTTGCATAAATCAATGTATTTATTCGAGTAAGAGGGACACTGATGACAGGAAAAGGAAAAAAGCATTGTTAATCAAACTATAAAAATCTTAACCAGCATTATAAGTACAATCAGAATGTACTTGATGAATGATTTTCTTCAGAACTCTGTTCTTTCCAAATAACCAAAACATCACCAATACAATACTTTCCATAAAATCATATTAAAAAAATCATAACATGTCTACACACTATAATTAAACACCTAGACCTATTCCCACTCACATTGAAAAGCATACCCAAGCAAGTATAACCTCTTAAGACAATCTGCTAATTGTAAATTACACATTAACTCTCTATTAATAGTTATTCCTTGATGCATGTTTTATCGATAAATGAAGTCAATAAACTATAATGACCAAAACCTGTACATAAAAATAAATAAATAAGCAAGGGTAAAAAACAATGGTTTTGTAAAGATCACCTGCCATATGTCTCCCATGCTGTGGCACGGAGCAAGTATGAGGAACCAACTAATTGCATCACAGATCCAGGAATTGAACTTGGTTGTGCACAGAATTGGAAAGCATTGGAAGAGCCACCAGAGACATTCTCTTGGGACAACACCAGAGCACCCATTGGCTTTTGTAAATTCTTAAGCCATGCAGTGCTAAATGCACCCTCAGCTGTCATTGTAAGTCTTTCAGAGACAAATTCAGTAATCAGATGAGAACCTAATCTCAGTTCCTGCAAAATTATACATATAACAGCAAATAGAATGCACTAACAGTTAGAATCAAAATGATCTAGCATGCTATCTGATTGGAACTGAAAGTGTAACCAAAGACAGCACATTACTTTGCAAACATTAGTTGGAAACGTTCTAAGCTTCATAGAATTTTTTGGACCGAATGATAGCAGAGGTCTTTGCACATGCTGCAGAGAACAATGCAACAATTAATTTACTAGTAACAATAAAAATATCAAAGGCGTGTAAGTTCAGTATCTAGTCACTGTATTAAAGATGCAACTATCAATCTCAAACGAATATTAAAAATATATATATCAAATCTGTATCAGCTATAAAAGTAGTGGTCTCCACATAACAACATTTCTCAGGCCAAAATACAGATTGTTTCCAAACTAATAAGCTAAGCAGCATTATTTCCAAGTAGAGACGTACATGATCTAAACTTTGATCCACAAAAACATACATATATGTAAATCAACCTTTTAGTTAAACTCTTCAATAGTTTTTTGTAAAATTTCAGTTCCTTAAACTTTTATCCTTCACATGCTCCGCAAAATTTAAGTTGAGAAGATATTAGAAATTAAATCCTCAAATGGTGCTCGAACAATAATTTTTTGCAATCAACATTTCAAATGCTAAAATAAATCATAACATGTATATATGTATATCATTGTATAAATGCCCTTATCATGGTATCTAAGAATTGGTTAATTGGTTTATGAAAATGTTATATACCAAAATATATGCTTAGTCAATCGTGGAGTTAAAGGTACCAATACAAGAACACTGCATTAAGATTCAACTATAGCAAATGTTACACCAAAATAGATAGATCTATTTCAACCAAGGCTAATGAATTGTCATTGAAGCACTCAGAGAAAGAAAATGAACAAACCATACAAGTAACCACTGCACATAATGATTCTCAACATTACCGTTAAATCAAATTTAGCCATTGCAAGATGATTAGAAGCCACCAAGCGTTTTAACTTTAAACTCTCGGCTATTCTAGATGACTCTTTCAAGAGAACAAACAATTGCTGCTGGACAGACAATGAAGTGCCTATGCTGGTTATAGGTGAGTAGGATGATCCGAGAATCCCAGTTGTGGTTGAGATTCCAATTTCAGCCAACAAGTTGCAAATAGCTGCCAACGTGTATGCAAGAGAAGTATCATTACTGTGCTGCATAAATTGAAAACCATCAGGTGTTCGTGCACAAAAATAATTGAAACTAAAACAGAAATAGTGTTGTAGTTGAAAAGGCACAATAAAGAGAAGTGAATAACATCAGAATGAAAAGATTCCTTAAACCTTATTCTCATGACAATGTTTCCTAAGAAGCAGAAGATTTTCTTGCAAAAGAATATACAAGGGTACAAGCAAAACAAACTATAACATGGCAAAGTTAAAACATAACTAGAGGGTACCTGTTGAGAGAAACAAACAGCTTCAGTTAAAACCTGCACATCATCAAGCAAAACAGTTAATGAACAAGAACAATTTTAAGAGTAGTTAAAGAGCTAGCTGGGTTTCTGAGGGGGAGTAGGACACTCCTTCCTCATGCTTACCTCTAAAGCTTGCTTTGGATGCCCAAAGTGGAAATGCATCATGCCCAAACATAACAAGGCAATTTCATATCTTCCAAAACTATTGCAATCAAGCGTCCTGTTAAAAAGTTGAAATTCAGAAATAAAATTGAAAAAAAAACAGAGATAAGACACAATTATTAACTTTACACTGCTAAATGTTGGATGAGCTTCATATAAGAAATTCACACAAAAAAAACTGACCTTTGTATCCTTTAAATACTGCTAAATGTTGGATGAGCTTCACATGAGCTAACGCTGCATCAGATAAACTGGAGAAGTCCAGAAAAAGGTCAATCTCATGCTGACAAGGGTTTTTTAAAAAAACAAAAAAACAAAAACAAAAACAAAAAAGTTAAAGATTCAAACGTGAAAGTACCTTAAACCATCAGCAAAGCAGGTTGCATAAATCAATGTATTTATTCGAGTAAGAGGGACACTGATGACAGGAAAAGGAAAAAAGCATTGTTAATCAAACTATAAAAATCTTAACCAGCATTATAAGTACAATCAGAATGTACTTGATGAATGATTTTCTTCAGAACTCTGTTCTTTCCAAATAACCAAAACATCACCAATACAATACTTTCCATAAAATCATATTAAAAAAATCATAACATGTCTACACACTATAATTAAACACCTAGACCTATTCCCACTCACATTGAAAAGCATACCCAAGCAAGTATAACCTCTTAAGACAATCTGCTAATTGTAAATTACACATTAACTCTCTATTAATAGTTATTCCTTGATGCATGTTTTATTGATAAATGAAGTCAATAAACTATAATGACCAAAACCTGTACATAAAAATAAATAAATAAGCAAGGGTAAAAAACAATGTTTTTGTAAAGATCACCTGCCATATGTCTCCCATGCTGTGGCACGGAGCAAGTATGAGGAACCAACTAATTGCATCACAGATCCAGGAATTGAACTTGGTTGTGCACAGAATTGGAAGGCATTGGAAGAGCCACCAGAGACATTCTCTTGGGACAACACCAGAGCACCCATTGGCTTTTGTAAATTCTTAAGCCATGCAGTGCTAAATGCACCCTCAGCTGTCATTGTAAGTCTTTCAGAGACAAATTCAGTAATCAGATGAGAACCTAATCTCAGTTCCTGTAAAATTATACATATAACAGCAAATAGAATGCACTTACAGTTAGAATCAAAATGATCTAGCATGCTATCTGATTGGAACTGAAAGTGTAACCAAAGACAGCACATTACTTTGCAAACATTAGTTGGAAACGTTCTAAGCTTCATAGAATTTTTTGGACCGAATGATAGCAGAGGTCTTTGCACATGCTGCAGAGAACAATGCAACAATTAATTTACTAGTAACAATAAAAATATCAAAGGCGTGTAAGTTCAGTATCTAGTCACTGTATTAAAGATGCAACTATCAATCTCAAAAGAATATTAAAAATATATATATCAAATCTGTATCAGCTATAAAAGTAGTGGTCTCCACATAACAACATTTCTCAGGCCAAAATACAGATTGTTTCCAAACTAATAAGCTAAGCAGCATTATTTCCAAGTAGAGACGTACATGATCTAAACTTTGATCCACAAAAACATACATATATGTAAATCAACCTTTTAGTTAAACTCTTCAATAGTTTTTTGTAAAATTTCAGTTCCTTAAACTTTTATCCTTCACATGCTCCGCAAAATTTTAGTTGAGAAGATATTAGAAATTAAATCCTCAAATGGTGCTCGAACAATAATTTTTTCCAATCAACATTTCAAATGCTAAAATAATTCATAACATGTATATAAGTATATCAATGTATAAATGCACTTATCATAGTATCTAAGAATTGGTTAATTGGTTTATGAAAATGTTATATACCAAAATATAAGCTGAGTCAATCGTGGAGTTAAAGGTACCAATACAAGAACACTGCATTAAGATTCAACTATAGCAAATGTTACACCAAAATAGATAGATCTATTTCAATCAAGGCTAATGAATTGTCATTGAAGCATTCAGAGAAAGAAAATGAACAAACCATACAAATAACCACTGCACATAATGATTCTCAACATTACCGTTAAATCAAATTTAGCCATTGCAAGATGATTAGAAGCCACCAAGCGTTTTAACTTTAAACTCTCTGCTATTCTAGATGACTCTTTCAAGAGAACAAACAATTGCTGCTGGACAGACAATGAAGTGCCTATGCTGGTTATAGGTGAGTAGGATGATCCAAGTATCCCAGTTGTGGTTGAGATTCCAATTTCAGCCAACAAGTTGCAAATAGCTGCCAACGTGTATGCAAGACAAGTATCATTACTGTGCTGCATAAATTGAAAACCATCAGGCGTTTGTGCACAAAAATAATTGAAACTAAAACAGAAATAGTGTTGTAGTTGAAAAGGTACAATAAAGAGAAGTGAATAACATCAGAATGAAAAGATTCCTTAAACCTTATTCTCACGACAATGTTTCCTAAGAAGCAGAAGATTTTCTTGCAAAAGAATATAGAAGGGTACAAGCAAAACAAATTATAACCTGGCAAAGTTAAAACATAACTAGAGGGTTACCTGTTGAGAGAAACAAACAGCTTCAGTTAAAACCTGCACATCATCAAGCAAAACAGTTAATGAACAAGAACAATTTTAAGAGTAGTTAAATAGCTAGCTGGGTTTCTGAGGGGGATTAGGACACTCCTTCCTCATGCTTACCTCTAAAGCTTGCTTTGGATGCCCAAAGTGGAAATGCATCATGCCCAAACATAACAAGGCAATTTCATATCTTCCAAAACTATTGCAATCAAGCGTCCTGTTAAAAAGTTGAAATTCAGAAATAAAAATGAAAAAAAAAAAAACTGTTGTCATCAAGTGAAGGCTGAGCAAAATCAAATCTGTCCCTACACTTTTCTGACAATATTTATCATATTAAGTTCTTCTGATATGAACAATTTCTTCCTCAAACTTTTTCTCACGACAAGAAAACTTTTGAAACCTATGGAACAAGAGAATAATTTCTATAATGAAAACAAGTCCCTGTGGACTAGGTTTATGTCAGCAACCACACACTTGGCTTTATAAGCATATAGCAGATTCCAACCAAGACTCAGTCAGCACAGCATCATAACCCTAATTATTTGCATATATCTCTAGCCATTTTCATCCATAAAGACATTAACAGCATATTCAGCATCATTTTCAATACGCATTTTCTAGTACCTGCATACCTAGTGTAGTTAGAGACCATCCAATTTTGTGCACTTGTTCAACTTTTTCTGTATCTTTTCTTTGCTTGATACATTTGTACATAGTTTCCATTTTTCTTTAAAATTTGACATTAAAGACAGCAATATTTTTATTTACCTATAATCAAAATAGCGGTGAAGATTCTCCAAGGCAGCAAAATAATCATCATGATACAGGTTATTCAGGTAACGTAAGAAATGAACCTGTTTTGTAATACAGCATAGACAGGGAAAAGAAAGTGAATTAAATCTCACATAACACCAGTCATCCTTCAGAAAAAAAAATAAAAAAATAAAAAAAAAAGAAGAACGGAGTTGAAATCAATTATAAACCTGCTAACACAAATAGGTATGTTAACTTACACGATGTAGATCAGGCGCCAATTTTTGGAGCTGCCTTAGAATTACTTCAAAAGCATTTAAAGAGAATGAACTACCATGCCTGACACAAGAAAATCACTTCAGAATCAACTTAACATAAACTATATTTGACATGTAAACAACAAAGATACACAAGTACAAAATAAGCCTTACTTCTCAATAACATCAGCTTGCTCCATTAAGTACCCCTCAGTTTGCCAGTTTGTACGTAAGAATGCCCCACCACTGGAATCAATGTCTCGCAATGCGTCATTTGGAGTATGTGCATAGGAACAAGTTTCTCTACCATTGTCGCCATGTTTGGAGTTTGGGATAGCAGGAACCTCAATATCTGCACATTTAATGTGTCTGGATCATTATGCTATTACTTAGCTCACCATACCAAGCAATGTTTTTGAAAGAAGCATGAATTAGAAAACCCATCAAGTAATAGTTCCAGCATAGTTACAAAATTGACCTTTCAAATGAGAAGAACAGGAAAAAAAGATTCATTGATCAGTTAATGAATTTTAACAGAATTTCTTCGTAGTCACCAGATATAATGACTAGCTTCAAACTACTCATGAGATTATGATATTTTTGGGATCTAAATAATTTCTAACATCACCACAAACTTACACTTAAAGGAGTTGCAAAAATACCTACACGATTCCATTACATCTATGCATACTTTACAATATTAAAATAATTATACCTTCAACCAATCCAAAAAGAGCTTCTGGTGCATGAAGGTGAAAAGAAACTTTTTCACTAGCCATTTTTCTTGCTTCAATTTCTTCAGTAACTTTTTCATAAACAATATTCTCCAAATCCATATTCTCGTATTCGGATAATGCCTCCAAATCATTATGGGAATCATCTAAACAAGGCAACTCATAATTCGGACAAGTTGAAAGTGCCTCTTTACAATAGATCCCTATATTTGTTAAAAGATGGCACACACCCTGCATTAAATTACATAAATCAAACTAACTGAATTGTTCTAGCAATGGGAAAATGTACGTTAGCACATAGTTTACACCTTTTTATTACTAAAGACAAAACATTAAAACTTTTCCTTAAACAAGGGAGGAAAGAAAATACTTAAAAGGAGGGAGATGGAAGGTTGGAAGCACAAAAAAAGCATCAAAGTGATCATCAAAAGTTCAAACGTGGAATAGTAGTATAGATATAAATCTAGAATAGGAAGATTACAGAGAATATACAAAAGTTGGTATTAAACAACCAACTACCAATACAAGGTAAAGTACAGTCGTAGTAAGGGATATACAAACTGTATTTGCGATATGTGAAACATTAAATATCACAAAATGATGTTATCTCTATAAAAAGCCAAAAGGCATTCCAACTAATCAAGATTATGGAAATTCGGAACAAAATTAAGGTTAATCTAACATACCGATGAAGACTTTAAGTCAAAAAAATTATACCTCAAAACATAAGAGATTGAAAGCAAGCAAACAACGCCGGAGAAACATTCCCAGGTTACTATTCGAGTCCAAAATAATCTGCTCATCTTCCACTGTGCTAAGTTCGGGTACTCCAAGAATACCTAAACAAAATTATTCAAACCAATTACCCTAAATTAAACCAGAAAAGAAAAGGCAGCGGATATAACAAAATGATAAACTGACCTCGCAAATCACTAAATAAGGTGAACAAATCATCAGGTGACGAGAGAGACGATAACCTACTTATCAGTTGATCAGTTAGCCACTGATACAACAAGTCACCAATCTCTCTCAACTGGTTTATAAGCTCGTCGAGTTTTGGCTCCAAAATATCGTCACAAGACTATTGTTAAAAAATTATTCAAGAGCATTAGAATATGAACTGGTGCTTAATTTCAAAAATTAATTGATTAATTAAATGTGATCGAAAAGAACCTTGGTGAGAGCAAACAGAAACAAGCCGAAGCGATTGTGTTGAGAGACGGAAGAGAAAGGGAAAGGCACAGTCATTAGAGCGGGTGGAGCATACATCTGGAGCAATATACAAACCGATACTTTGTGCGGTGTTAATGTAAAGGCACCTGGTGTCTTCATCATACCTCCCATTGTTGTTAGCTTAAAGAATTGAAAGTTCAAATCAACCTCCGTGTTGGTGGAGCACAAAGAGTAGAAACATTTTTTCGTCTAGGGTTTAGGCTGTGGTTTTCGGGAGCGAAATGGGATTTGAAAAAAGAACCGGGAAATGATATGGAACGGCCGAGTTTATTTATACACGTGTATCACCGACTTGTGCTTTGTACGATTTTTTGGTTTTTAACGTCTTTAACTCTAGAGTATCTCTCATTGTAACTTTTATTTTAAAAATGTGTTTCATATAAATAAATAGTATATTTGTTTATTTCTAAATATAAAAAACAAAATTTTTATTTAAATCTAATTAACTCTTTAAATTTAATAAAAATATTTTTTTTTTCAAAAAAAAACTTAATAGGTAAGAGAATTAATAAATAAAAAACATTAAAATTTATACTTTATTAATTAAAATTATGATAGACAATTAAATTTGACTCTCCTATTTAATTTATATTTATAGATAAACTTTTTATAATAAAGAGTTTAAGTCATATAAAAAGTCTTTTGGAGATGCTTTAATGTTTTCACCTAGTGATTAAAAAAGGGTCATAAATTATAAATTATTCAAATTTAAGTACACTGTTCAACATCTCTAATAGTGCTCTTTATTTTTAAAAGCATCTTTTATATAAATAAAAAATATTTTTCTTAATTTTTAAATATAAAGAACAAAATTTTTATTTAAATACAGTAAACTCTTTAAATTTAATGAAGATGCTCTTTATTTTCAAGAAAGAGACTGGAAAGTAAATTAACAAATAAAATACATAGAAACTTGTAATTTCTTAATTAAAATTATGATAGAAAATGAAATTTGACTCTCTGAATGTGAAAAGCAAACTCGCTCTTTAATTTATATATAAAGGATAGAGAGTCTGTTGGACTTTTGTTTTTATGGATAAACTTTTTATAATAAAAAGTTTAGATTATATAAAAAGTCAATTGGAGATGCTCTTAGACTTCAAATTTAACAGAAAATATGGATAAATCAGTTATTGCATATTGAATAGTTTAAAAGTAAAAAGACTTCAACTTGATAAATGGTGTTTATGTTTTAGGCAATGGTGAGTCGACTTCTTTATGGCATGACTCTTGGCATTCGTTAGGTCCTCTTGATGAATTTATTTCAGCCAAAACAATGTATGAGTCGAGAATAGGCTAGGGATCCATGGTTAGCAAGATTTTATCAAATGGTCAATGGAAATGGCCGAATGTTATTAGAGAACGATTCCCTCAAGTTATCAATCAAGCCCCTTGCATTCCTCCCTCCAGTATTAGGGATATGGTGGTTTGGAAGACCGTGGAAGATAAATCAGTTAAGTTCTTAGTCAATCAAGCTTGGTATGATCTTTCACCGTCCTCATCCATTGTTTCTTGGTACCGACTTTTTTGGTTCAACTAAAGTATTCCTCGTCACTCGTTTATCATGTGGTTAGGCATTAAGGGTAAATTACTCACACAAGACCGAATGAGTGCTTGGGTGGACCCAATGAGTTTAAATTATGTTTTGTGTAATGGCCTTTTGGACTCGCACAACCATCTCTTTTGTGAGTGCCCTTTCTCCTCTTTTGTTTGGCAGATGGTGCAAACCAAGGGTAACTTTCAAGTTCCAGTGGGAGGGTGGGATAATGTAATATCCTAGTGCGCTAGTAATTTCAAGGGGAAAAGGGTTAGATCAATCATTAATCGCCTTTTTCTTGCGGTTGCTGTGTATGGGATTTGGCAAGAGAGAAATCAGAGGCTGTTTAAAAATGTTCGGAAGAATTGTCATTGGGTTGTGAATCTCATTCTTAGTGTTGTGAGGTTTAAGCTTATTAGCCTTCGATTTAAGGATTCGATTAGAGTCTGAAGAGTGTTTGAGGAATGAGACATTCCTAGCTGTTGTATTGATGATGATGGTGATGGAAATGGATACGGATGATTTGGGTCAAGTCCTTAAGGGTGGGGTTTTTCGGAGTGAAAGCAAGGATTGGTTGGGGTGCTTTGTTAGGGGACATGGTTTTCAATGTGGTGTGGGGAAAATGCCTATAAATTTATTTATTTATTTATTTATTATTTTGGCTTTGTTTTGTGCGATGTGAATTTTGCGTTAGATTACGCAAGCTTCTGTCCAATTTTTTGGAGGTGGATTGTCAGCTTGAACCATTTGCTTGGTGCTGCTAGCTCTGTGTTTGGTTGTTGCAAGATGGAGCATTTGTTTTCATTTTTTGGCTGCGACGATTTGATGTTTGTGTGAAGGATTTTGCTTGTCTTCCTCTATGGTTTCTTTTGTCCTAGAAATAGGTTCTCTTGTAAAGGATTGTTTATCCTAGTTGCTTTTGTTTTCGAATCCCCTTATTCTTTTCAAGGGCCGATTCGATTAGGGGTTCCCCGTTTAGTTGTTATTCTTTATTTTTTATAAAATTACCAGTTATCCGAAAAAAAAAAAAAAAAAAGACTTCAACCAAAAGTTACACCAAATGAAATGGTGACACTTCTGAATCTATGTATATTGAAACATTAAACGGGCGTTTAATTTTATTTATTGAGTAGTACGAAAGTGAATATCAACATCCTTAGCTTATTCTACATTTCCTGCTTTGTTAGAGTCAAATATATTTATAAATAAGCCCCATCTGCAATAATGTAACAGTTTGCTTAACTAAGACACAACCTTACAACTGTAGTAGCTCATTCTCAAAGTTAACTCTTTTGTTGTGAATGGTCTTTTATCATCCGTTAATCAAACAAGAGTGAACAACATGTTCCCACCCAAGGTTTGGCGAAATACAGGTTGGTACCCTTTATTTCATAAATTCCAAATTCACACCCTTAAATGGGCGTAGTTAGTGACGAATGAGTTTAGACACAAGAGCAATGGATGCTTTTACCAAACTGCCCTCGTATCTTCTTCTTCTTCATCTCCCTTCCTCTTCTTCATTGTCGTCGCCCTTGTGTGTTATATTGGTGGTTGTTTGTTTTTTGATTAGAGATTAAGTGTTGGGATTATCTTTGGAATTTGATTGAGTGTTTTTTGGGGTGATGTTTGTTGATTTTCTGGGTTTTGGACGAATCGGGGACGAGAGATAGATTTTTTTCAGCTACTAGCACACCACTCGTTCAACTAATTTCCCAAGTGAACTCCCCTACCATTTGCGCACGCACGCTCGTCCAACGCCAGCGCCCAACACCTCTCCCCATTGGGCAAACTTCCAATAGGCTGCAGCCCTACCCTGGCACATCCATTCCTCCCTAACTTTCAACTGCCACTCCCGCTCGCCCATAGGTTCCAAGCTTTTCTGGTCAAATCCGTTGACAACAATCGCCCCCAACCCACCATTAGCCTCACAATTTTGAATTTGATTGGTGTTTGTTTCAAAGATTTTTGAAAGGAAATTGATATTAATGGTTGTTTGGAAGTTGATCGTGATTTATTTGGAAGCATTTGATGCCAGAGAGGCGCCAAGATTGGCAACATGTGAGAGAATTTTTTTTAGAAATGAAAATAAAAATGACCATTTTAACCTTTAACGGTTAAAAGAAATGAAACGTTATCCACTTAAGGGTGGGACTCTGAAATTTATGAAACCAGGGGTACGAACCTTGAATTTCGCTAAACTTTGGATGGGAACATGTTGTTTACTCGTCAAACAATTGCAAACAACGAATACGTTAAACTAATAGAATAGTTTAACGCAATAATTTAGTTTTAAATTATTCTTATTGAAATTAAAGCTAGTCCGGAGAAAAAACAAAAAGAGCTATGAAATTATATGACAACATCCTAGTTGATTTTTTTTTTTTTTTTTAGTTTGAGATTTGATTCATAGTTTAACAAACAAATTATATCACGAGCATATTTAATTCCAAACACGTGTTCAACCTAATATTAAAACTTGATTTTAATGATTTAGAAAGATTGTGATAGATGCTAAATCATATGATAAATAAATAGAATTTTTGGAAGAGATAATCTCNCAGCTGTAGTAGCTCATTCTCAAAGTTAACTCTTTTGTTGTGAATGGTCTTTTATCATCCGTTAATCAAACAAGAGTGAACAATATGTTCCCACCCACAGTTTGGCGAAATGCAAGGGTGGTACCCTTTCTATCATAAATTTCAAATTCACACCCTTACATGGACGTTGTTAGTGACAAATGAGTTTAGACACAAGAGCAATGGATGCTTTTACCAAACTGCCCTCAAATCTTCTTCTTCTTCGTCTCCCTTCCTCTTTTTCACTGTCGTCGGCCTTTTGTGTTATATTGGTGGTTGTTTGTTTTTTTATTAGAGATTGAGTGTTGGGATTATGTTTGGAATTTGATTGAGTGTTTTTTGGGGTGTTGTTTGTTGATTTTCTGGGTTTTGGACGAATCGGGGATGAGAGATAGATTTTTTTCAGCTACTGGCACACCACCCATTCAACTAATTTCCCAAGTGAATTGCCTTACCATTTGCGCATGCACGTTTGTCTAGCGCCAGCGCCCAACACCTGTCCCCATCGGGTGAATTTCCAACAGTCTATAGCCCTACCCCAGCACATCCATTCTTCCCTAACTTTTAGCTGCCACTCCCGCTCGCCCATGGGTTCCAAGCTTTTCCGATCAAATCCGTCGACGACAATCACCCCCAATCCCACCATTAGCCACAATTTTGGTGAATTTTGAATTTGATTGGTGTTTTTTTCAGAGATTTTTGAAAGGAAATTGATATTAATGGTTGTTTGGAAGTTGATTGTGATTTATTTGGAAGCGTTTGACGCCAGAGAGGCGCCAAGATCGGTGACAAGTGAAAGAATTTTTTTTAGAAATGAAAATAAAAATGATCACTTTAACCTTTAAAGGTTAAAAGAAATGAAACGTCATCCACTTAAAGGTGAGACTCTAGAATTTATGAAACCAGGGGTACGAAACTTGAATTTCGCTAAACTTTAGGTGGGAACATGCCGTTTACTCATCAAACAATTGCAAACAACGAATATGTTAAACTAATAGCATAGTTTAACGCAATAATTTAGTTTTAAATTATTCTTATTGAAATTAAAGCTAGTCTGGAGAAAAAACAAAAAGAGCTATAAATTATATGACAACATCCTAGTTGAGTTTTTTTTT